TACTATACTGTTGCAAGAGTACAAAATTTGTGTTGTGGTGCTGAGCTACGTCGCTGCGCGTACGCCTCGCTGGTGTTCGTGGGGCGCTCACTGATAAAACAGGTTAATAATAATAGTAAATAGTATGAGAGAGAGGTGTGAGGCTGTATTGGCTGCCCAGGGCGGCTATACCAAATACTGAATAGACCATCTCAACTTGTACTAGTTGAAATCAGCCCCTGTTTGCCCCACTGTACAAAACTTATGCCTGATACCACAGTATGTGTGAGTGACGCGTACAAGCGAGTAACGCACCTAACAACGCAATATCTCAACATGGCGGTATACACATGTCCTATCACCCGACGCTGATACTGGCTGTTTTTGGCTGCTGAGTGAGAAAGTGGGCACAAGGAGCATGTGTTCGGCTACGAGTGTTGGCCCGTCATCAGCCCGCACCATAGCTCTGCCTAAGATACCCGCCTCGATCCTACATCGGGCCGACTTGCGCTGAGCTCAGCAGAGTTGTCAACAATCAAGCCAATCTGCAATCAAGCCAAATGTGGCCCCTGCTTACTAGCGGCCTAGAATATACAGGTACAGCTATACCTAAATATAGGGGTGGCACGTCTCTTTCATAGGCCCGTGCCTGATCGACAAGGCTAGCGAGCAGGGGCCACATTTGGCTTGATTGCAGATTGGCTTGATTGTTGACAACTCTGGAGCTCAGACACCTGTAGTGCTGCATCGGAAATTTATATATTACTGCGGACGTTTCTCCGAAACGTGTCGAAGCCACTCAGAAGCTGTTTTGTGACCTACCTAGTCAGTGTTGCGAAGATGAACTCTTGGACTGCAATGAGTCTCCGTGGAGGGGCCGTCAAATCTTGCGACCCAGTGGGGCTGCGAAAGTGTGACACGTCGCGTCAGGTGACCCTACTTGCTCTAATTGAACGCAATAAACTCGGGGGCCTAGTTTGCGTCCACCCCTAGTTTGCGCCCACCGTGCGCGAATGCGCCCACCCAGCTCAACACGCGATAACTCAACAACAGCGCTTATATTTGAAACTGTGTACATATGGATGCTAGAGTAAGAGCTTCAGCTTGAGCTGCTGCAGTCTTTGCAGCTTTCTCTGTCTCTTTTGTTGATGACTGCGCAACTTGAGCTGCTGCTCTGTCTATTGCAGCTTTGATACTCTCAGCATTGCTAAAGCGTTCATTCTGATTAATCCTGACCCTCTTTCTCGTCTGCCTACTCTGAAGTTGCTCTAGTTGATATTTCAAGTGTTGATTCTCAGCCTGTAGTTGAGCTGTGAGAGCAGTTGATAGAGATATAGCCTTCCCTGCTTTGCCAAGCACTTGGCGTGTGCTCCGAGAGAGAGATCCTAACTGTAGAAGCTGCTGCTGAGCTTTATATAGATCTTGAGCCCTCTTTGGAGTTAAGAAGGATTGATCTACAAGAGTTTGAGGCTGCGCAGGCGATGGAGGAGTAATAGGACGAGCATAAACCTAAGAGGAGTTGAGGACAATAGAAGGGTTGTATGGGCAGAGGCCTGTAGCCCTCCGACCAGCTCGAATAACGCGCTCAGAGAGGCCTTACTCTCGAGCTTGATGACAGGAGGATATAAAGCGCTCCTTCTTTATAGGAGCTGCGTCATCACGAGCAGATAGAGCTCCAATCCTAGCTCTATACTCTGACTTGAGTACGCTAAAAGGAGCTAGGTCTAGAGGCTGTAGGAGATGAGAGGCGTGAGGAGATGAGAGGCGTGAGGAGATGAGAGGCGTGAGGAGATGAGAGGCGTGAGGAGATGAGAGGCGTGAGGAGGAAGGTATATAGTCCATATCCTATGCTGACGGCAGAGTAGCATGAACTCAATATCGACGTGAGACCCATGTCCATCAAGTATCAGTATCCTCCATTGATCTCCATGAGGCTGAGTGTCTGGGATGAATATGCACCTTAGCCACTCAATTCCTATCTCATGCGAGGTCCATCCATTCTTAGAGGTGGTATATAACCAGTCTGGAACTGAGCTAGACGGGAACCACGTTGTCTGTAGGCTCTGTCCCTTGAATATCACT